CTGGCAACGGATTAGTAACCAGTGGAGTAACTGCAGAAGGATTCCACCTTAAAGTGGAATCAACATACTATATGAGCTGTGTGAATTAATGTTTGGCAATTAATGTATTGGGCTGCAGGTTGCCTGCTAAATTGTGTTTTTAACATACTCTGGTTGGCTGTTGCAAAATTCTTATATTATGCAATCAGAAGACGAGGCTTAAATAGCCAAGCGTAAGGGACTGATGCATCTTAGTATTTTGCTGTATTTCCATGATGTTTTGTGCTTTCAATGCCAATAAAGGTTTTGTGTGTGTGTGTGAACATACTCTGGTATTGAATCCTTATTATGTTGTGTGTGTGTGGTTGTGCCTGGTTAGCTTCCTGTGGTTAATGATGCTACTGATGTGTCCCATTAACTGTGGTGAAGATGCTAGTAGGAATTTGCTCTGGGAGGGGGCTTCAGGAAAAGACAGCACAATTCTGCTCTAGGTCTAAAGATTGGCCCTGTTACATGTGACCATATGCCAAAGTATTGATGTTTAGGGTGACATACGTGAGATGTAGTGTTCTCTTTTCCCCTTTTTGCTAATAGGCTCCAAGCTGCAAAGTAAACTTTATGAAGTGATTTGGTCTTCTTCCATCTATTCACTGCTCATGTTCTTTGGCTGCCTTGGTACTATTTGACTTGGAACTGAAATTGGATTTGTATCATAATCTTCTTCCTTTTTTGCAGAACTAGTTCCCTGTTGACTTTCTTTTCTATCTGATTACTCTTCCTGTTAAATGGCAATTACATTTACATTTTTTTGTTTCCATACGGTTCATATCCCCCATGTCTGTCTCACGTCTTCTTAGATATTTATTTACCACTTAATCAACATCTGCTTCAGTGAAATGGAGCTGATGGTCTTTTGAACTTCTTAAAACAACTTTAGGCCATTTTAAATCTGAATCCAAAGCTAAGTCATACAGATGTTCTGCTGCTTGCAGTTTTGAGTGTGTGTGTGAGAGAGAGTCTGTCTATCATCTACCCCTATCTATAGATTAGGGTTACCAAACCCCCCTGAGGGGCAGAAACCCCACCCCCGCGTGCGCGTCATCCGGAAGTGACGTCGCACGCTGGGGGCGGGGCCACGCCATTTGAGGGGAAAACTCTTTGTCTTCCCCTCAAATGGCGTGGCCCCGCCCCAGCGTGTGACGTCACTTCTGGTGATGCTCTGGCGGCACGCGCGCACATCCCCGGCCGGCTCCCGGAGCGACAGGACGCTCCCCCGCCGGTAAGGATTTCTGATTTGGCAACCCTACTATAGATAGATATATAGATATAGATATCACACTCCAGATATACACAATCTCATTTTTATGTGCTTTCTACTGTGCTTGTCCACACAATGACTGGTTTCAAAAACTGTTCTTTGGTCAATCCGCTGACCAAGGCTGAAAGCACAGCCTGAACTCTCTTATAATTGGCGAATGAATGGCTTGCACCCCATAGGTAACACTGCAGCTTAACTGTACATATGGTTCTCTGGATCACAGCCATCCCTCCTTCTTGCTCTTCAGTTCTCTTTCCCATGGGATTTCTCCTCCACCCCCACTGAATATTTTTCTTCGCAATAAGTATATTGCTGTTAATTATTTATGCATCCCTCTTAACAAATAAAGAGCTTTGCAGCCTTGCTCATGGTTGCTTGTGAAAGAGACCCTGGTTATGCCGTTTCTGTGCTTGGAAATCTGAGGCCGAGAGAGGCTGTCGTCCAAGATGGAATTTCATTTTAGATCTCTCTAGCCAAGTTCAGCATTCCATCCCTGCCTCTCTGGTTCGCTGCTCATTTTTCTTTTTTCCTTATTTAGACAAAGGGTTGTTATTGTTGTCTATGCATAAAATGCACACCCAGAATGGGGCCAATGTGTTCTTTGGGACCTGATAGCAGCAAGGTCAGGTTTTGCATGTCCAAACCCTGCAGTCCTTCTCTTGAAACTTACTTTTGTATTTTGACAGCCTTCTATCTACTGCTCACAAGCCAGGCAAAGGCCATGTGTTAGTCATCAGCTTCTCTTTCCCCCCATATCTGTGCAGCATATGTTCTGTATTTCTTCATAAAAAGTGGGATTTGGGTTAGCTGTTTATCGACTCATGTAATTTTCGGAGCTATTTGGGACCTTCCCCATCTGCCTTTTCTACTTTCTCACCCACATTTTTTCCGTATATTTGTGGTAATCTGGGTTTGTTTGGAGAGGTTTTTTTGTTCCATCCTGTCCATTCTTTCTAAAGCTCTGATGAAGCTATAAAGCCAGGTTCTCACAAATGGGGTGCTGGGGTGGTAACCCTGCTTCTGGAGTTGGACCACAGACTGCAGGTAGGGGTCGTATGTCTGAATGCTCCTCCATATTAAAAAAACCCACACCGTTTCACATAGAAAAGTAGCATCTCGAGGAGAAGGCAAGGTGACGACACTTGACACTGTGCAGAGGGATTGCTTTTTGTATGGAGAAGCGTTCAGGCATACAGACCCCTGCATGTGGTGGAACAATCCCAAACCCAGGTGTATATCATCCCATCTGCTTTTTGTGAGAATTTACAAGCAATTGGAGCTGACCTTTCAGGAAGAGCTTTACAATTAAGGCATCAAAGGACTTTTGCTGTAAATTTCCATCCAACACTGTGAGGAGTAAAAAGAGAGGGCAGTGATCCTTCCCAGTTCTAGGATGCATAATGCCAGTCAGTGCTGCTGATGGATGTCTGCAATCTTCTATAGACTCCATCTTTGTGATCTTTGTGCCCCATCTTGTAGGGATAACTTCATGCAGCCCAACCCAATGCATATTTACTCAATGAGGTCAAATGGCTTTATCATAAATATGCAGAGAGGTGTATCTGAAGCCCATTTGGGTCACAACTGTCCTACTTGTTAGTCAGCTGAGATATTTACCCCAGGCAATGGACTAAGCAACACTGAATGTTGTCTAGTGATTCACATGTGCTTGGCTTTTATGTCAGCCTGTTTCTACAGTTAAGATACTTAGACTTCCTCTTCTGGCCTCTCTCACTACACAGCATTTTGTGAAAACATCCCGTATTCCCTAGAAAGTAGGAAGTGATGTCTCCATCTCCACCCAACTTGTCCTTCGAGGGTTTGTTAATAAGCTTTAGTGCTAATTTGAACTGCAGACTCTGCCGAATTTGGATCATTGCCTGAATGAAAGCTCTGGGAACTGCCAAGGAGCCACCCATCATGTCCAGCCGCGTGTGCATCTGTGTGGAGCACTTTCAGTCCAGAGTTCTCCAGTGTCAGGCTGCACCATTCTCAGCTTAAGGGTAGGCAGTGTTTTTCATGATATGGCTCTTAAATATAGGCAGGCTGTTTGCAGCTGTTGATTATTGGGATGAGAAATAATGGTGGGCTGGTTGCTGACAATCTGTATTGTGAGGCACCATGTGCATCTAGCAACACTGTGGCTGTTGTGTGCACAGTTGTGCTGTGCACATATACTCTAGTGTGGCCCCGGTCATACGGAGAATTTGCCGCACGAAAGGCACGAATGTTGGGCGGATTTTCAGGGCGCGATTACACTTTAACATCTGGGAAGCGTAGCGCACTCATGGCCAACCCGTGGCGTCCCGCTGAAGATGCGGAGTTAAAAAGTACCAGGGAAAGTGCACTAGTATCCGGAAAACACGCGGCACAGACGGGCGTCTGATCGCGGGAACGCTAGTATCCTGTGACATCCGGCGCCCGTCCACGTCCCGTCACAAACCGGATGTTTTTCATAAGCGCATGTGCACCAACACAAAACTGAAAGCAGTGCTGCTTTGTGGAACTGCACATGCGTACAAACGTGAAATGCTTGTGTGATCGCGCCACGCCACTTCTTTGCCATGCTGCAGCGTCGCCATGTGATTGCCAGCTAACAGCCTAAGCACAGAGACTTCGGGGACCATGTGATCGGGCTATCGCACTTTATTTTGCTCCGGGGCGAACAGCCACGCCTCCCACCCCCTCACGTCATCAGGCCCGTATGACCGGGGCCTGTGAGATTCAAAGTCCAGAATTGGAATTCAACTTCTTTTCTTATGGTGTGATTTCTTCTCTACTATGGTAGTAGAAGTTCAGTTCATGGTAACAATAGTGTGACGTGGTACAAGTCAAATGGGGTGGGGCAGCGTGTTGGTACGGGGACAGTCTTGCAGAGCATGGAGGCCCCTTGTTTTCCAGGGTTCAGTTGAAAAGCACTGGATGAAGTAATCCTGCTGAAGCTGCACAGATCTAGTTCTGATCAATACCTGATAAGAAGCCACCTAGTGGTGCTGCTGGGGAAGAATAGCCTTACGGTATTTTGTTTATCAAGGGCCTCTCTTGTTGTTAAAGCATCTCATGTATAACAACAGAAAGTTTAAGATGTCTGTCTAATCTGTACAACTCCTATGCACTGCTTCTTTCGTTGAGGAAATATCCTTTTAACTTCAAGGATCAGTTTGGAAAAACCTAAGACACTAGGGTTGCCAACATCCAGGTAGTGCCCGGGGATCTCCCATATCTCCACACAACACAGATCCCTACAGAACTCATCTTGGAAAATTCAGAGTTCTCCTGGGAAAAAAATGGCTGCTTTGAAAGGTGGACTCCACGGCGTTACACACTGCTGAAGCCCCCCTCCCCTTCCCAACCCCCGGGCTGCGCTTCTAAAACTCCTGGAATTTTTCCACCCTGAAATTGGCAATCCTGTCAGAAACCTATCATGGTGGTTCATCAAGTGAAGGAGCTTCTTTGACCTGCACAATTTTCTGTTTCTAATCTGTCTCCCTTCCCTGTTGTGTACACAAGCAATGTGCCTAATTTCTGTTCTTGGCCATCTCTGAACTCATCTGGGAAAATAAGGTGTTTAAAGTTGCTGTGAGATGAAATCACCTTAATACAAAAGTCTGTGGTGGTAGAATGCAGCTGAGAGTGGGGAAAGTGGGAACATATTTTCCATGTCTTCTTTATCGATCCAGACCCAATGGGTCTTCTCCTACAGCCAGGCCCAGTTCGAAGAGCCCCGGCATCAGGTCCACAAGCAGCCAATAGTGGGACAATGGAAGCCACTTGCAACCATGAGAGAACAGGAGCTGCAGCACTTGGAACCTCCTGGCAAGGACTGTGGCAGTGGGGATGAGAACCAGTCCATGGCTCAGCTCAGCGTCTCCCGCTTGCGCAGTTCCTCTGTGGAGATCCGTGAGAAGGGGTCAGAGTTCCTGAAAGATGAGCTCCACAGAGCTCTGAAGGTAAGTCTTTGCAAAGAAGTGAGGACAACAAAGTTGTGAGTAGAGTCATGTGCTTGCATGCTCAAGTCTATGTGAATCTGTGTGAGCTTCTTCTGAATGGCTCACCAGTAAATACTTTGATCATTCCTTAAGAAATAAAGCCGTTACTGAATGCAGAAGAAACTAGAAACCCACTGGAGGGTAAAGGCCACACAAAACCATCTTTTAGTATTTAGTGTATTTAAGTTTCCTTTGTCAAACATATTATTGCATAACATTTTGTGTGCTTATAAGCATTGTATGAACTGGGTTGTTTTTTTTCCTATAGGTGTGTTTTACACTTCAAGTCGTTGGTGGTTTTGTGTTTTTAGACTTGTGGCAAGTGTGTAATGCTAATCTTTTTACCTGAACATTTCTTTAATTATCTTATTGATTCATATTTAAAAAGTGTGATTTTATACCACAGGACCCATTCTTATGTGTTTGACACTTAATAAAGGATTAGATAGGTATTGAGGGAACACAAACTTATTAGTTATTCTAAAACTGAAATCTCCACATTCAGAGGCAGAATAGTTCTGACTTCCAGATGCTTGGACTATACACATGTTGGTTTCTGGGCAAAATTCAAAGTGCTGTTTTTTACACTGAAGGACTTAAATTACTCGGGGTTGGGTTCTCTGAAGAACCACCTTTCTGTATACGGTCCTGCCTGCCAATTAAGCAACACTGGCCCTTAAACCGTGCACTCTGTGTTCCTACCTTCAGAAGTAAGGAGGTGGCAACTGGAGACAGGGCATTTTCGGAGGTGGCATACCACCTGTGAAATGCCCCCTTCTTAAGCCTTGCCTGGCATGTACTTTACTGTCTTTTACATTTATCTTTACTCAGATTTTTATTGGAAGGATGCCATGTTTTAGCTGTAATTTTTATGCCCTGCTTTCTAGCCTGTTTTATGAATATAACTTTAAACTACTTAATGTTACTTTTATGCTGGCACACTTCTGGCTTGTTCTAGGGTGCTGGTCATCTGGCTGGCAGGCAATGCGCCCTCTAAGCTTTGGAGTCTTGTGAGCAAAAATTCTACTTTGTGAGCTACTGGCATTAGAGTTGTGAGCCAGCGATTTGGCTCCTGCCTAAATTAGTTTGCTCTGCACCCATCCTTCCCGAGCTAAGACAAAAATGTGTGAGCTGGAGGCTAAAAAACTGTGAGCTAGCTCACACTAGCACAGCTTAGAGGGAACACTGCCGGCAGGGGGAGTTACCAGGAACAGGAGGGAGGCCCAAGCTATGTTGCTGGTATTTGGGTAAAAAATGTATGGTAGAAACCATTTTTACCATAGAGTTTTTGCCCTAATGCCAGAGTGTTGCTGTGACTTTGCAACATGATGACATCACTTCCGGTACATGTTGGAAGTGACATTGCCACATTGCCGGCATGGTAGTCTCTGCCTCCCTCCTGCTTACTGCTAAGTCCCCCCCCCCCGGTCCCCAGCCGGTTGCCAGGAGGGACCTGTTAACCCTCCCTTGTTCTTATAGCCAGTTTGACTGTGGATAATTTTATGATTTTTTTTTACTGGACTAGTTATGTATGTATTTAAGAGATTTCTGTGTTGCCTCATCCAAGTTTTGCTCGAGGCACTTGCAGGTAAAATAATAAATTAACACCATAAAAACAAGCCATTGAAACAAGCCCAAGGGACATAGACAGCACAAATCTGACCGGAAGCAGTCCATTAAAAAGCTGAAAAGATAAAAACCCTCATTAAAAACCAAGGTAAAAGGATATGTTTTGGCCTGTTGCCTAAAAAACAGTAGAGTAGGTGTCAGGTGAGCCTCAACAGGGAGAGCATTCCAAAAGCGAAGGGCCACCACAGAGAATGCCATCTCTAATTACCACCTGCCTTATGTTTTTAATATTTTGTGCTCCCTCAAGAGGGTCTCTGAAAAGGCAAAATATTAATCTTCCAAATAGAAACATGTCAGTTGCCATGAAGTCACCCCGTGGCTTTCTCCAGAGACTCTGTGTAGGTAGAGATGGAAACCGACTGGTGGCCCCTGCTCTCATTCTGCAAGAGGCCTCTGTATGTTCTAATAACATGGATATTTTCATAGTTTATTTATGGGATATCCTGCCCATATTTTATCCTCATAACGACCCTGTGAGGTAGGTTTGGTTGAAAGTGGTGATGGGCCCAAGGGCACTCGGAAAGCTTCCATGACAGAGTAGAGGTTTGAACCTAAGTCTGGCACTCTGACTAGCACTTGTGACTGCCATAAACATGTACTGACAAGAGAGTTCACCTAGAACTGTAGTTTTCAGGTTGTGACAGACCTCCTTGAGGAAGGACGAGATGCACTAGAGGAGAGGTGAACTCTGAGCTAACCCTCCTTCTCCCCCACCCTAGACATCCCTCAGGCTGCCTCCAGCCCTTCCAGCCAGCTGAACAATTTAATCTGTTGTTCTTGGTTGCATTTAAGAAAGCCCAAAATATGACTTTCCCCCATCATCTCTACTTTCATGATATAATTTTGGACTACCTAATGGAGAATCAAGCCCTGACCTGGATACCTCAGGTTGGCCCGATCTCATCAGATCTCGAAAGCTAAGTAGGGTCGGCCTTGGTTAGTACTTGGATGAGAGACCAGCAGGGAAGTCCCTCCAGAATAGCTACACAGAGGGTGCGGTCAGACGGCGCGCTGAGAGCGGGTTAAACTGCTCCGGCTCTAACTGGATTATATTTGATCTGGATAATCGCGATCACACTTACCTCCTTTATCCTGCCTCACCGCGCAGTCACATCGCTCCCCAGCGTCTACACTTCTGACGCGCGGGAGCGTGTGTCGGCAGGTTTTTAAAAAATTTGTCCTCAGTTTGTGCATGCACATAGGCGCCCCTCCGTAGAAGGGGGGGGAACTATCATGGCGCATGCGCAGAACCACCAGAGTGAATCAATTCAACCCCTCCAACAAAAGACTTCCCTTTAAATGTTTGACCCGAAAATGGCCTCTGTGAGATCCCAAACTCATCTAAACGCTAAAACAAGTGATGGTTTAAATGTCGTTTTTCTAAACGTGGTGGCAGAGCTCCGCCTATGTGCACACTGCCAGTGCATTTAAAAAAATGGTGGGCGAAAAGCGGAAGCCTCGGGCAGCTTTCGAGTGGGGAGGGGATTTAAACCAGAAGTGGGTTGACACCGCAGGAGCAATCAGACGTCAGAAAAGTGCATCTAGAACCGGAGAATCATGAAAACACCACTTGGGGACCTGGTAACAAAATACTCCGTTTTAAAGGGGGTTTGAGCCGGAAAGCGACGGCTGGGGAGGGTGCGCAGATGTTGGGTGTGTGGACGTGGATATAAAATCCATTACTGAAGCGTGCCGAAAGCGGAATAAATGGCCCGTCTGAACGCAATGGCAAACCATCTCTGAACGTCTCTTGCCTTGTAAACCCTATGGGATCACTATAAGTTGACTGCAACTTGACAGCAAAAAAAAGGGTATTGGGTGTGAAAAACCTTTGGCTTAGGTGCTTGAAAACAGTTGCCAGTTAGTTTAGATAATACTGGCATAGGTGGGCAACTGGTAAAAGACAACTCCTTGCATTCTTAAAGTGTCTGTGGGAGGAGTCCTATGTCCTTACGGTTACATGGGGAGTCCTTGCCCCCCCCATGCCTGCAGTTTTGGTTTCTTATGTGTTTTTCCTCTGTAGGAGCTGAAGTTAAAAGATGAAGAATGTGAAAGGCTTTCCAAAGTGAGAGAACAGCTGGAGCAGGAACTGGAAGAGTTAACAGCAAGCTTGTTTGAGGTATTGCCCCTGAGATCAGTGCCTGGACCCCAAGGGGATGTTCCTACTCTTCTGGAACCAAATTCGAGCACTACACATGGGCTGATTTCGCACAAGGAGCTTGGCCGCCATCACGCCTCCCCTTGCCCCGTTTCCATTGGTCGATTTCCGACTCGAAGCCGCGCGGCCGCATTTTGACCTGCGGCTTCGCCCGATTTCCCCCACGGTTTCGTGATCCTGTTTTTTGAGGATCACGAAACTGCGGGGAAAATCGGGCGAAGCCGCAGGTCAAAATGCAGCTGCGCAGCTTCGAGTGGGTAATTGACCAATGGAAACGGGACAAAGGGAGGCGCGATGGCGGCGCAGCTCCTTGTGCGAAATCAGCCATGGAATTCATGAGTACATGCATTCTCCAGCTGTACTGGTACTGACTGTGGAGAACCAAATTTATACAAATAGCCAAATTGCTTGTGCAGGTCATGCTGTGCTACTTCAGACTGTGGGTGAGAGAGCTACATGTTTGAGTACTTAGAGAATAAATCCCCTGCAGGGAGAAAACCAGTTTGTTAGGAAGAAAAGTTCTGGCCTAGCCTCTTTGGCATAATAGTTTTCTTTGGTCAGACAGTTGTTTTATTGGGGAGCCCTGAAATGAGTGATTGCCCCCATCTGAAAGGCACAGAACCCAGGGGCCACAAGACCTGTAGTTCTCCTGATCACACAGCTTAGTGCTGACTGCATATCTACAGAAGGCCCATCTTCCACAGATGCGATTGTGTCCCCTGCTCCTTCCCTTAAACACATAGAGCTCCAGGACTGTTCATTACTTGGGCCTTCTCCAGGTGGTGATAATGCTAAATTCCCACAGCCATCCACTGGAGGGATTCCGTAGTTCCCTAAACATGGATACCCTTGAGAGCAGAAGCATTCTATGTTCTGCAGAATAGTCTAAAATAGTCTAGGTGAGAACACATGATACTTTTACCACCTCCCACGTGATGTGTAGTAAAATTCTTATTTCTTGGAAGGGTAGGGTTGCCAAGTGAATTTTACTCACTGGTGGGGGAGCCTTGCCGCGCTCCGGGAGCCGTCCCTTGTAGTGTGCGCGCCACCAGCACGTCACCAGAAGTGACGTGCGACGTTGATCACGTTGAGGGCGTGGCCTCAATTGTCGGAGGGAAAACCATAGAGTTTTCCCTCCGACAATCGGGGCCAGGCCCCAATGTGATCGACATGGTTGCGTCACCTCCGGTGACGCAGCCACACTGCGCTTCAAGGGGTGGAGTTCCCCTCGGGGCCTGATTCCGCGGCGGCGGAGATCGGGCCTCCAAAGCAGGGGTTTACCCGCCACCCGCCCCCACTTGGCAGCCCTATAGAAGGGTGATACCTTGTGATAGGATGGTCATAGTTTGACTATAACATCCTGACTATCAAATATTCAGTAAAAGTTGGTTTTCCCATCCACACCTATGTCAACCAACCTCAGCAAGAAGGCTGGAGCAAAAGGAAGTATCTTTGCCTGGTGCTTGATGCTAAACCTGGAGAGAATGTTCTATAGCTGAGATGCCACAACAGAAAAGGCCCTGCTTTTGGTGTCCACCCACCTCACAGTTCTACATTAGCGAACATTTTAAAACTGTCTTAGACTTTATCAGACTTATACAACTTTTTGGAGTATGATTCAAGCACTCAGAGCAGTTCATTGTATTATGTTGACTATCTGGCATAATTCTTCATATTTCTTGCACTCTTTTTTACAGGAAGCACATAAGATGGTTCGGGAAGCAAACGCCAAACAGGCGGCATCAGAGAAACAGCTGAGGGAAGCACGAGGGAAGGTGAGTTCTGTCAATCTGCCTTATTATATACGAGGCTTAAATGGTACCTTTTAAATCTCTTTTTAAAGTATAAATATTATATATATATCCTCTTTAAAAATATTACACATCCTCCAAGGAGTTCAGGGCAGTGTATATTGTTCTTCCCTCCTCCATTTTATCCTCCCAGCAGTCTTTTGAGTTAGGCTTGGCTGAGAGAGAATGACTGGTCCAAGGTCACTCAGTGAATTTCAGGGCAGGCGGGGCTCTGACCCTCGATCTCCCAGGTACTAGTCCTCACTGTAACAACACTCACTCTCTAATAGCAGCAGTTTCAGTTTATTGTTTCGACCATGGGTCGTAACAATATATTAACATCATCTTCCACATACTAAAACTACAAAGTTAGCAAATTTAACAAAATTAATTAACAAAATTACAAATATAATACAGGACTAAACCATATAAAATCAGCCCAGTTTAAAAAGTTCAAAACAATTTTAATTCTTATTATAGCTGTATTCCATACAGTTCGACCTAATCCTTCTTGCCACTAATGAAAACAAAGCAACTCTATTAGAAGCATAAGAATCCTCATCTGCAAGCAAAAGTATTACTTTTTCCAAGTCTGAGGCTCCTTCCCACATGGATAGAATATTAGTAATAAATTTGTTTCGGGGGTCATGGTGAAGGGGACATCTCAAAATATAATGAATCACAATCAGGCGTCATTTTGTAGAAAAAGAGCTGCAGGAGCATATGCTAATGAGCTACTAGGCTATTAGCATATGCCACACCCCCTGACATCACTGGAAGTGATGACAGAACAAGAAGCAAAAGGGGGGGAGGCATCTTCAAAAGCCTCCCCTTCCCTTCCCCAGCTGGCCAGTGGGAGGGGAGCGAAGAGAGAAGGGGTTTAAAGTTTAAACCCGTTCTCACTAGAGTTAGGCCACAGAAGGAGGAAAGAGGGAAGGAAAGAGAGAGAGTAGAGAGAAGGAAGGAAAGAGAGAGAGAAGGAAAGAAGGAAGAAAAGAAGGAAGGAAAGGGGATAAAAAGAGAGAAGGAAAGAGGTAAAGAAAGAGAAGGAAAGAAGGCGGGAAAGAAAGAAAGAAAGAAAGAAAGAAAGAAAGAAAGAAAGAAAGAAAGAAAGAAAGAAAGAAAGAAAGAAAGAAAGAAAGAAAGAAAGAGAAGGGAAGAAAGGAGGGAAAGAAAGAGAGAAAGAAAGAAGGAAAGGAAAGAACGAAAGAACGAAAGAGGAAAAGAGAGAAAGG